TAATGCGGCCGCATTATGCAGTGCAGGCGTTTACTGGCCGGGCGACTCCACTGCAAGGAGAGCGGGGTCGCGTCTGGCCGCCTCTCTAGGCCACGCACTCCTGGGCGACAAAACAACACGCATCGCGGCATCGCCGTCGTGCGTCGTGCGTATGTCGGCCGAGACATGCAAAGACCGGAAGGGAAGACGAGGTGGCGGCGCGGCGCGGTGCAGCGGGCGAGGACAGTGTCAAGGCCAAGGCCGGCGTGGCTGCCACGGACGTGGCGGTCTGCCTGTCTGCACTGGCTCGCCACTCGCCACCACCGGCCTGCTGACCGCTCTGGCCACCGGAACAGGTCGGCCGCCACCACGCCTCGCCGTGCCGTGCCGCGCCGCGCCGCCGCGCGTTCTACTCGGCGTCGCCGGCGAGGCGCGAGGCGCGAGGCGCTGTCTGGCGGTCGATGCCGTATGACTTTGACTCGGCTTCCGATAACCAGGGCACTCGCTGTCACCACGCGTCGCCACGTTCATACAGCGCGGGCACGGCGTGCACGGCCGTGGCCGCGCAGTGCTTTGTCTCGGCCCAGAGCTAACGATGCGAGGAGGAAACGAAAACCAAAGAAGACGAGCACACGTCTCCGCCAACAGTTCTTTGGTCGGGCCGCATCTTCTCTCTCTCTCTCGCACCCGTGTGGCGTCCCGTAGGGGCGCGAGAGAGACAGAGCGAGGGTGACGACACCTGCGGGCGATTGGCCAAGGACGCTCATTGTGTTCATTAGCTCGGCAAAGAACGCGGTGGAGTGACGCGCTTTCCTGGAGTGAGCGCACGTGCAGCACGTAGTGCGTGGCAACGCGGTGGTCGACCCCGCGGCCCGCGGCCAGGGAGCCGGCGAGGATTCCCAAAAGGCAGTAAAATTATGGCGATTCCCAAAGGAAAGGCGTTTACGACCGCGAGAGAGTCGTCTCGTCAATGTGGATTTGAATACGACTTGCAATGACCCGGCCCCCCATGGGGCTCGACATGACTTTCAAGCATGACGAGAGCCGACAGCAGCGCTGGCTGTCAGGTTGTAGCGTCAGGCTTTACACCAGTGCCCGCTGTTTTTTTAGGGCGAGGGCGCCTCCATGAAGGGAGGGTTCTGGGGTAATAGGGAGGGAGAAGGGCGCAGGACGAAGGACCAAGCCGCTCGCCCAATTATTTTCCACCCTGTGTCGTGGAGGGCGTGGGGTGCTCAAGGCCCTCCTCGGAGTGGCGGCGCGAGGCCGGCAGACCCACCGCGTCATTACGTGCAGCGGTAGGCGATTCAGGGAGTCGCTTTCATCGCTGCCTCTCTCGCACCTACAGGGAACGCCCCTTGAGCGCGAGAGAGACAGTACGACGAAAACGACTCTCGGAATCAGTCTGCAGGGCCTTCCAACTCCCAGGCCCCGCGCGCCCCCTGCTCGCCCCTGCTCTCCAGCTCGTCGCCTTCAATGTGTCCACTCTCTTCTTTCCTCACCGCCGGCCTGCCGCGGCCTGCCCATGCCGGCCTATCCAGGACACACGACCGCGTTTAATCCGACAACATTTTCCCCAACATCGCTGCGTCGGCCGGGTGGAGTGCGGTGCATTTCGTTTCGACACGCCTGCCTGCTGCACTGCTTCATGAGGACCCGGCTGGCAGCCTGGCAGCTCCCCTTGCGCTGTACCAACACCGCGTGCGCGCGCTAACCGTGCCCCGTGCCTCCGCTGGGCGCCGCAGCGGTGCACCGGGCGCTGCGGGGCTGCCCACGGGTTGATTCCGAGCAGCGGCGTCTCTCTCGCACTCGTAGGGGTGCGAGAGAGAGGACGCCCAGAGCCTGCATGGGCGGTGCGCGAGGCGGTGCGCGAGGCGGTGCGTGGCCCGCGGCCAGTGGGAACCAACCGAACGGCGGAGACGGCGGACCGGCTTTGCTTTTCGTGACGAACGATCGCCTCGCGTCGGTGCCGCCTGGCCTAGCCTAGCCTAGCCTAGCCTCGCCGCCGACGTGCTTGGCGCAAAGCTCCAGGCCGCCTGGCGCACGCCTGGCGCCTGGCTGCAGTTTTACAGCATCATCGCCAGCTTCGCCTGCAAGGGGCCGCGGATTGGCCTTGGGATTCGGGGCAGCCATCCGTCTCCGTGATGCAGCAGGCGCTCGCGGTGCAGGCGGTGCAGGCCTTCGTGGCCGAGTGACCCACGCCACGCTGCCACCATTGCCTCGAGCGCCTCGAGTCCCGAATCGAGGCCTTGTGGACTTCGGCCGCGCGGTAAGGGCCTACAGAAAGCGCAGCGCGTACTGCCATCCCTTCGACGAGGCCCAGTCATGGAAAGGATTGACGGCCTGCCAACGGCGGAGCAGCGACGCACAGTGGGTCGGAGGCGGTCAAAATCCCGCGTTTCGAGCTCCAGAGTCGCTAAACAGGACACGAACGTGTGACCGCACCAATGGATTCCTCGTTCGGAGAGCAATCCATTGATGGGGTCACACGTTCGGTTCGAGTCCCATTTAGCGACTCTGGAGCTCAAAATGCGTCTATAGTTTTGGCCGCCTCCACCAGTCCTCTGGCCCACTGTGCGCCGCCGGAATCTATGGAGCCTGGAATCCGGAGCGGAGGGAAGCCCTGCCGGGCGGTGCGCTCTGCCGCTCTCCCGTTTCCTTGCGTTATGGTCGGCAGTGGCCGGGCGAACCGAGCGGCTTGGGATAGGCTAGGAACCCCGCGGCTGGAGTCTGGAGCAGAGCGCGCGTGACTCGCCCAGGATGGTTCCGCGTCCTCCTGCAGTTGCAGAGCCACTCGGCCACTCCGAGGGACCGTTTGGTCGCTCTGTCTCTGTCGCACTCATGGGATGGAGAAGCCACTTCTCTGGATAAAGTAAAACGCGGTGTGGGTTCAGCGTTTTGCGGTCGTTAGGTGACAGGTGACTCCGGGGCGTCCGGGGCGTCCCACGGGGGAGTGAGAGAGAAAGAACGCCGGGACGGCGCGGCTCGTGTCATCGGCGAGGTCCTCGCGGCTCGGCGACGGTCCCCGCCGCGGTCCCTGTGGTCTGCCCTGCAGTGCCCTGCTGTCCCCTGCCTGCAGGCCGCGGGCGGCTGCTGCGGCGGCGAGGCACATCACGACCGACGGCACCGTTAGCATGCCGTCAAACGCAATGCGGCGCCGTGCTAGGATTGGAGGACAACGGATGCAGCACGCCGAAGACGACTTGACAAACACCTAGAGACTCGCTTCACATCGTCGCATTCCAGGAGAGCGAACGAGTTTAATTAAGACAGCGGTAGCTTGCAAATCAAGCGAACCAACTCGAATCTGGGAAACGGACTTCAAATGTGGGACGGAGCGCTGGTGTTCTTGCAGCTCTGGACTCCGCCCTCGTGTTCCACATGCCGCACAGCGAGACTGTTATCGGGGACCCTTTTTATCACCAAGTCACTCGACGAGCATGTATCGACCGCAGGACTTCACTCCTCGGGGGAACGACCGCAACGCACACAAATCACTGGGCACTTCCGCGGGGCCGCGTTTTGGGCAGTTTGTAGGGGGGGAGGGGGTGTCAAATCAAACACAAGCCGGTATCCACGGATTGCCCATCGAACGAGGAATCCATTGGCAACACAAGTCTCCGCCGACTGAGCTCGTGTTTTGGCCGACTTAGGGTGCCGGCACGCCGACGCAGACATGACGTTTGGTGACGCCCCCGGCGGCGCGGTGCGGCGCGGTGCGGCGCGGTGCGGGCCCCGTGTGGGACGGGCATCTAGAATGCGAGCGTCAGCAAGACGGCGCGACGGCGCGACAGCGCGCGGCTCCGACTCCAATTCGCACACTTCTTGCTCACGGGGGCTCCGTTCGGCCGTTTGGCTGGCCGGGCTGCCCCACACGCTGCTCGCTGTTCATTATGCAGATCGCGGCCCGCGCCGTACGCGCCACCCCACGCCCTATCATTTGCGTAATCATTCACTATTTTTATTTTTTTTCGAAGGGGCCTTCCCTACCTGGCTCAAACCTCGTTATCGACTGTTCAACAGTTCGGTGTACTGCCAACAAAAACCATAGCAGGCAACTCTACTAAACAAGCTAGCTGACACCTTAGAGTGTCTTGTACTAGTCTATGAGTGTTTTAATGTGTAAAAGGTACCATCTGCTAAAAACTTGACATCCTCGTTTGCACGGCGCAGATCGTTACCTCAACCAGTCGAAAACACCCAGTTGAAACCTCCGTCAACTGTCAACGCACTCGCTGTTCACACCGCACTCACCATGTGCCACACCGTCAGGTACTTGAGGCTGCCGGCGAACTCGAAGGTGATCGTGGACGGCACCTTCACCTTGGTCGAGTTGAAGTAGATGGCGTAGCCGTCCACCACCACGGCGAGGGTGTGGAGGGCCACAGCCAGAGCAAACGCCATCGCGGGACGCTTGCGCGGGGACGTCGTCGGGGACGTCCGCGGACACGAACCGAAGCGAACGCGCGCGAGACCGGACTGGGCGAGCGCACTGGCGGACCGCTACGCCGAATGGCCAAAGACGGCGAAGACCGCGAGGACCGCGAGGCGGGGGGCGTGCGCCTGGCGTGCGCGTTCGCGTCCGCGCCACTAGTCAATGCCCGCTGCGCTGCCTCGCTGCCTCGCTGCCTCTCGCCGTGCCGCCGTGCTTGCACGCGGGTAATGGGCCCTGCCTTACCGCGGAACGCCTCGCGCGGGGACCCAAACACCTGGCAAGGCGGGGCGGGGCGGGGCGGGGCGGGGACTGCCGCCGTCGGGGGGCTGCCTCCACCACAACGTCGATGCACAGTTCGGGGCGCCTCCAGGGGGTGTTCCCCTGGCGACCGCACGTGCGCGCCAGCAGCGGCTAGAGAAAGGCACCACAACACTGCCGGGCGCCGGGACAAGCGAGGGACTTCCCCTCCTTCTCGCCTAGCTTGGCCCTGCGAAAAAAATCCACCTTCTTCCTCAGAACGAGTCGATAAACCCAAACCTTGCGTGTTCTTGGGCCTGGGACGCACGGCGACGGCGTGTTTTGAAATTGGCGCGCACTGATAGGCGAAAGCGCGCGGCGCGTAATTTTTCATACTAGTCAAACAGCTGACGGGTGACGGCTGCTCTCGATCCCGATTCTCGGCTACTCGTTGACAACACAGCTGTGAAGGTAGATTCATGAGCACTTGTTGCCATTGGCCGACAAAAAACAGAGCTTTGTTCTAATCTCTGTCCCCTCCCTCGCTCAGTTGATAAAGGCCAAAACTCATGCTCCCAGATTATTTAGTGGCCTGCTCGCACTCTTTTGGAAGACCATGGCTCCAGCACGTTTGAGAATTGTTTACTGTTCCATACTAAATCGTGACATTACTCTTGTTTCTTATCGACACGATGTGAACGAATTGGCAGAGCTAGGAATAGTAGAAATCCTCGAAGAAGTAAAAGCGTCTATTAGAAGTTTACCGGAATCATCTTATGAACAGAAGTTTACTTATCCTTTCGAAAAGTAAGTACCGTACACCACTTCTGATTTCTGCTTGTTCATGAAGATGGGCCCTTTGTCATCGTGGTCCTTTGTATTAACTTTTAATCTCAACCATTTTACCCCTCAAATTTCAGAGTGCAGGTGTTTGTTCTCATAGACCAAGGCATCACATATCTGTGCATAACAGAATGCACTGACTCGAACTATCTTCCTTTCTCCTGTCTGAATCGTGTCAGAGAGCAATTCTCAGAACAACCAAGTCTTGTTAGTAGATCGTATCGTGCCAATGAAGATGAGTTCGATAGAGATTTCTGTCCAGTTCTTGTACAGATTGTGGTAAGTACAATTTCCGTTGGTGTCCAGACTCAATTTTTGCTTTCAGCTTTTGATACATTTTATTTTTCATGAAAAATGTTTGTACGTTTAGGATGACTTCAATTCTGGCCGTGCTGATAAGTTGTCTCAAGTACAAGAACAAATTGAAGATGTTAAAAAAATCATGCTTCATAATGTAGAGAGAGTTATTGATAGAGGAGAACGCTTAGATGACCTTCTTTCTAAAGCAGAAGAGTTGGAATCACAGGTAGTACTTAATTTAAAGATGAAGTTTTAGCAAAATTATGAGGACTTTGAATGATGGCGGCACGTCTTCTGTTTCAGGGGCAAGATTTCCGTCGGAACACTCACCAGGTATATGTTCAAGCTCGTTGCCGTAACCTTAAGTTGTGGTTGTTAATAGGCTTTATGTTTGCTGTCTTTCTCACCGTAGTAATTTTATTTGCAACTGGTGTCATAAAATCATGAATGCCTGTGATTATTTGGAGGAGCTCTATGTTAAAAACGGGTTTTAATTGAAAAATGTGAAACGTGTTTCTAGCTTTGCGCTTGTAAGGCTTCAATTTTTTGAAAGATCAACCTATGTGGAACAATTTAAAAAATACATTTGTAGGAACAAAGTATTGCCACATTTTCAGTTATCAATATTTTTAAAGTAAAGAACCACTATTTGTGACTCTTTTTAGGAAAAGATTAATGTGATAAAGTGGCTGGCTGCATTACAGAAGCTTTGTCTGTGAACTGCTATTTGTTATGTGTCATCTGAACTATTTTATGTCCCACCAGTGCCAATCGTTTTCTTGGCCATGTGATAACTTTTAATCATGTGATAGTGAAAAGAACAGTTTTCGTATAACATTTATTACCCTAATTGTTGATGTTCATAATTTTCTGACCAATGTAAAATTCTTTAAAGAACCAAGTATTGCAGGATCAATTTTGGACCAATGAAAAAGGCCTTTTGAGTCATTGTATAATGCAATGAATTTGTTATTGTGTTCAGTATTTTTATAATAATTTTAATAAATTTATTTCATCTAAAAAGAGACATGTGGTTGCGAACTTCTTTCCGCACGTTGTGGCGTGGCGTATTTCCAGTGGACGCTCCCCGCGTTGCGCGGGGTATCGCCGGGCGGCCGGGCCTGGCGCCCGCAAGAGGGCAGCACGGGGCGGAAACGGGAAGACGAGAACAAAGACGAGGCGGAACTCGCGGCGCGTGGGGTATCCACAACATTTACCGTGGTTCCACCATTGAAGCGTTCGTTTTACCGAGCGAACGCCGAATTTGGCAAATGCAGTGCAGGCTGGTCCAGCCTGTCACGTCAAGGGCGCCAACCGGGCGCTGCACGTGCAGCTTGGGCTGCCTACCACCCGGCGTTGCCTGCCGCACGACACCGTTTGTGTTCGGTGGGCTGTCTACCCTGCCGGCGCTCCGCGGCTCCGCGTCCACAGCCCTTTGTGCTGTGGCAGCGCGACGGGGTTTTTCTGCAGCCTTTTACCCGAGCGGCAGGAAAAAGGGTGGCAGACAGGCGGAGCAGGCGGAGGCGCATTGACTGACTCCGATGGGACATGTGAATGACAGCGTGATGACGGCGAGGGGCTCGGCTTGTCTCTGGCGGAGGCGGGGATCAGCGCGGCGGCGGCAGCGGCGGCAGCGGCTTGGAGTGGAGCAGAGGGGTGCCTGTGCCTGGCCTGTCTCCTCTCCCCGCTCGCAATATATGCAATTTTGGCTGACGGTGCGGCGCGCCGGCCGGGCTGTGGGCTCTGCAGACTGACTCCGAGGGTCGTTTTCGTCGCTCTGTCTCTCTCGCACCTGTAGGGGACGTTCCATGAGTGCGAGTGAGACAGAGCGACGAAAACGACTCTCGGAATGAGTCTGCTGGTCCCTCCCCTCCCCTCCGTTGGCACCGGGAGGGAATTTAAGGCTTCCGGCGGCGCTCTGATAGGCAAGGCTGGCTGCCGGCTCGGCGTTGCTCCGCGTTGCTCCGCGTTGCTCCGCGTGGAGAGTGCCGACCGGGACGACGGCACGGCGACGCGCCGGAAAGCGGTACGTCGCTCTGTCTCGTTCGCACTCCTTCGAACCACCCCGTGAGTGCGAGAGAGACGGTGGATAGAGCTGCCGGAGAAGCTGGGGCTTAAGGCACCGTGCCTTGTTTTCCTTTCTCAAGTCGGAGAACAAACTCATATTGCTTGTGGCGAAAGACAAAGACTCCGGCCGGGCTCATGTAAAAATCATCGAGGACGAGCGGCGCGGCGCCCGAAGCCCGAAGCGCTCTGGCGCTCAGGGAGGAGACTGCGCGGTGGAGCAGCGCGGACTTTAGGGGCACTAATCCAGCGCCTGGCCCGGCCAGGCCTTAGGCGGGGCGGGGTGCTTTGCACCGGTCTGAGCTTGCTGGCGCGTTGGCGCCGCTACGGCTAACTTGGCCAATCTCCCCATGGCGGGCTGGGCTTCTTACCCGAGGCACGGCGGTCGAATTTCGCGTCCCCGGAGCCGCCGAGCGTGGAGCGTGGTCAGGGCAGGGCGGCCGGGTGCGAGGCGGCCAGGGCGTTTTGCGTGTAGTGGACTGTCGCAGCTGGGGCACGGCGCCCGGTCCCACGACGGGGGCTATGAGGGGCATTATGGGGATCATACAATGATAGCCTCCCTCCATCACGCCTGGCACGCCCGCCCCGCCCCACCCCGCCCCGCCACGCCCCCGTTTACACGCGCCCTTCTTAGGGAATAATGGATGAAACCAAAAGGAAGCGGCTTTAGTCCGTTGCATGGCGGCGCCGGTCGTTGGCGGGGTGGGCGGGGCGGGGCGGGGTGTCCCCACGTCGTTAGAAAACAAGGCGAGCGAGAGGCGCAAAGTGGTGGAAAAACACGTCCGGAAAAAGCTTAGCCCGCACGGCCACGACCGGCGCGGTTCAAGCCGCACCGCCGCACCGTATATATATCTCATCAGCGCCGTTTTTCTGAGCCCTGCCTCGCCGCGGCCCTGCGGCGCGCCTCCCCCTCTGGCTGCCAATCCAAGTCCGGCCTTTGCAGCCTGGCGCGGCGCAGCCCCATAGCGCCGAGGGACGACGAGGCAGCCGAGAGCCCGGAGAGCCCGGAGGGGACGAGGATGAGCGCAGCGCGGTCTATTCCGCGAGTGCTTAGCGAAATGTGTTGAAGTTTACCCGCGAAAATCCCCACATTGAATGTGTTCGCACGCCCCCGTCCCGTCCCGTCCGGCTTTGGCCGCTTTGGCTGCTTTGGCGCCCCCTCCCTCCTTGCCGCCCTCGCCAGGGCCGCGGCCGGGGCTTGGCGACGGCCTGCCCCGCCCGCCCCGCCCGTCCCCCGGCCCGACCGGACCAAGTGGCGGCGGACAGAATTTACGGTGTTTCAATTTGCATATGAAGCAAAGCAGAAGAGGGGTGGATTTTGTGCAAAAGAGAGAGAGAGAGAGAGAGAGAGAGAGAGAGAGAGAGAGAGAGAGAGAGAGAGAGAGAGAGAGAGAGAGAGGGCGGTAGGACCATCGGGACGGGTCGGAAAGAGCAAAAAGGGTGACGCGGGGGAAGGGGCGGGGGATGGCGGAGACTGATAACAGCACAGAGAAATTGATGGGCCATTCCCCCAATTGAACAGGGTTCGGCCGGCTGGCGGTGGTGACCCGAATCCACGCCCCGCCCCGCCCCGCCACAAGAAGGCTCGGAACCACCTGCTAGCCGAATCTGATCAACCCGGCCGTGCGGTGTGTTGCTGGCGGGGCGGGGCGGGGCGGGGCCCCTTGGCCAGGCCGCCAGGCCGCCAGGCCCCACGGACTGTACTGCGTGAAAGGCTGTCAGGCTCAGGGCAGCGGAAGTGTCGTTCTGTGCCGCCAAAAGCGCTCTCCGTTGCCAACCCTCTCGTGAGTTTCCTTCGTGGATTTGAAATTCGCAACAAATTGAAAGAATTCGTCAACGAAACTAATCATCGACAGCACCGAAACGACAAACATGTCTAATGATCCCGGGCAACTGGCATTCGAATTATTTTCGTCGTTTTGAATTAAACATTTCCCCGGATAAACGAGCGTGAGCGCGCGAGCGGCCGAATCCTGTAATGGAACTTGTTACCAACCGGCGCGCGGGAACAGGGAAGGAAGCTAATGGTCAAAAAGTTGGCCCCGTATTTTCCTTTTCGTGTTCCGTGTCCCGGGCGGCACGCGATGCCAGCGAGGCTAGCGATGCCCGGCCGTGTCCTTAGTGGGGCCCAGCGGGGCCCAACAGGGCCGACGCGACGGGCCCAACAGGCCTGCCGGCCCTACACCCTACAGGGCCCCTCAGGGCCCGCGGTGTTTGCCGTGCCGAAATGAATGCCGCCTTGCCGGTCCGGTTCGTTTCCGTTCTTAAATCTTCCAAGGGCTGCCGAGGTCCGCCGAGGCCCGCCGAGGGCTGGCAAGCGCTGCCGAGGGCCCCCGTGGCCGTTCGCCGCGTTGGCCGCGTTCGCCGAACGAAGCAGGCGAAGCAGGCCGCGGCGCGCCACTTGTTGACGTTCCCATCCACCCTTTTAAAATTTGTAAAGACCTTCCCCAGAGCCACGCCGACCTCTCTGGCAAATGAAGGCCGGCTGGAATGAAGGCTTGAATTAAGGCCGAGTTAAAGGCTTGAATCCGTTCCTTTCAAGCCACCGCCCCTCGGCCCCTCGCCTCCGCCTTTCTCTTTCTGCACCTCCATTCTCATTTCAGCCCAACACTCTCGGGAATAGGAATGACCACTGCCGTCACGCGATCCCATTTTTCCTGCCTTCATGCTTTTTATCCCCCCTCCCCCTCCACCTTCTGTAATTGTGCTGCTAGGCGGGCCGGCCGAGCGCGGCGCCGCGGCACCCTCTCCTCCCTCTTGTCGTAATGAGAGGCGGCGCGCTGCTGGCGTCGATGGCGACTTCGGCTGGGCGCTGCCTGCAGCGCGGGGCCTGCAGCGTATAGAGTCCTAAAGTCTAGGACTATAAACTTTAGGACTCTTCTGCAGCGAGGGCAGGGTTTTGCCAAATAAGAAGGCTAAAAGAACTGTTCCCAAAAGCTGCGGCCTGGTCTCAAAAGCCGTGGTCTGGTCTCAAAAGCCGCGGTCTGGTCTCAAAAGTTGTGGCCTGGTCTCAAAAGCTGCGGTCTGGTCTCAAAAGTTGTGACCTGGTCTCAAAAGCCGCGGCCTGATCTCAAAAACTGTTGCCTGGTCTCTAAAGCCACGGTCTGGTTTCAAAAGCTGCGACCTGGTCTCAAAAGCCCCGAGCTCTAAACTCGTTTTGAGCTGCAACGACCTCAAACAAGATCCCAACCGAACACCCGATTGTTGGTACTGTCATGAGTTAGACGAGGCTGAGTGTAGGATGATGGAACTCATAACATAGCCAGGGTTGTTCGCTGCAGTGAAGGGCAAGTGGGTTGGCTATAGGCGGCTCTGCAGCGAGAAGGTCTTAGGGCCACGACGATGACGCCGTGCCCGGCAGTGCACTGGAAGGCCCTGCAAGGGCCTGGAAGGGCCGGAAGGCGTTAAAGCCCTTCGGAAATCGGAAGGGAAAGGGCCGGTCATAATCGGCCACGCCACGCCACGCCGTGAACGCCGTGAATGTCAACGAGGGTCGGAAGTGACTGACCGTTACAGTAATTCTCGGCGCCATGGCGGCGGGGCGATGCCTCGCGGTGCGGGCGGGGCGGGCGGGGCGGGCGGGGCGGGGCGGGGCGGGGCGGGGCGGGGCGGGCGGGGCGGGGCGGGGCGGTGCGTGCCGCGATAGGCGTTGGCGTGTCGTCGGCGAAGCGCGCGTGCGCCCCGTCGCGTGCTGCGGTGCCCCACTGCTGCAGCCCGAAGATACGACCTAATACGAGCTGACCGCGTCCCCCGGAAAGTGACTTCGCTCTCACTCTCTCTGTCTCTGTCACTCTCGCTGTCACTGTCCCTCGGTGCGTGAGCCACGTGACACGCGCGGCCGCCGCATTCACGCCCAGGAAGGAGGAATGATTCTGAAAATAGCCTGGTCACGTGTATCGAAATAACAGACTCCAATTTTGTTGTTTTTGTTGACGTGACTCAAAATCTCGAAATCTAGACGAA